ATTAATGACGGTGGTTCGTCTCACGGAGCAAAGTCTTTCTTCTAATTTAAGACAGTGATTACAATGTTCACTGCACGGCCTTCTCGAAAGCGCATCAGCATTTAAATGAACTCTTCCAGCCCTGTGTTCGATCTCGTAATCATATTCTTGTAATCGTTCTAACCATCTTGCCATCTGGCCCTCTGGATTACGGAATTGTAGGAGCCATTTTAGAGCAGCGTGATCCGTGCGAAGAAGAAACTTTCTGCCGTATAAATATTTATGGAAATGCTCGCAAGCCTTTACTACGCCTAGCAATTCTCTCCTGGTAACGCAATAGTTTCTCTCTGATTTCGACAAGACTTTGCTAAAGTAAGCGATGACTTTCTCCTGCCCATCTTGGATTTGGGAGAGAACAGCTCCTATTGCACTGTTGCTTGCATCGGTGTCCAACACAAATTTTCCTGCCTGTCTAGGGTAGCTTAAAATCGGTGCGCTGATCAGAGCCATTTGTAAGTGTTCGAAAGCTCTTTGACACTCTTCGCTCCATGTATATTCTTTGCCTTCTTCTGTCAACTTTGTTAATGGTTTGGAGATGTTGGCAAATCCTTTGACAAAACGTCGGTAATATGTACATAGGCCAAGAAAACTTCTAACTTCGTGTTTATCTCTTGGTACTGGCCAATCTTTAATTGCTGCAAGTTTTTCAGGATCAGCTGTTACACCATTACTTGCTACAATATGTCCCAAGTACTTCACTTCTCGTCGAAACAAGTGACATTTCTTCGGACTCAATTTCAAATTCGCTGCCCGCAATCGTTGAAAGACTTCTGTCAGATTATTGGCATGTTCATCGAAGGATCTTCCAACTACAATTACATCATCCAAATAAACCAGGCATGTTTTCCATGTTAGACCTCTTAAAACTGCCTCCATTAATCTTTCAAATGTGGCCGGAGCATTACATAAACCAAAGGGCATAACTGTGAACTGCCAAAGCCCTGATCCTATCGAGAATGCGGTTTTCTCACGATCAGCTGGCTCCATGTCTACTTGCCAATATCCACTTTTCAGATCGAGTGTGGAGAACCAACGAGAACCAGAAAGTGTATCCAAAGTATCGTCTATTCTGGGCAAAGGATAACTATCTTTTTTAGTTACCGCATTGAGCTGTCGGTAGTCAATACAAAAACGTGTTGAACCATCTTTCTTCTTTACTAGCACTACTGGTGATGTCCATGGACTGTTTGATGGTTCAATTACCCCTTGTTTGTTCATATCTTTGATGATGTCTTCGGCTTCATCTCTTTTCGCAAATGGAAGTCGTCTAGGTTGTTGTCTGATTGGCTGAGCGTCTCCGGTATTAATTTTATGCTTTACTATGCTTGTTTTACCATTATCCTTCTTATCAATGGCAAAAACATCTTGAAATTCTATCAGCATAGACTTTACTTTTTTAGTTCGTTCATCATCAAGATCTTGGCACGTTTTAATCATCGTCTCAACAAGCTCCTTTGGATACTTAGATTTCGACGGTTTCTCATTAGTACTCATGGAACAAATCGAAGCCACGGGAACACACTGTCCGATCAAAGTTCTTTTACTTAACTTAATAGCAGTTCCCTTTAAATTCATAACTCTTACAGGAACGACATCTCGAATTCTCACCAAAGCTTTTGCCGTTAGGAACTCGGCATTGTTCATATCTTCGACCATCCTTAAACTTCCCTCTCGGCAGTAACCATCAGGTGTGGCCATCAAAATTTTCTCACTATTACCGGGTATCGTTACGTCACAAGTAGTTATTAAGCTGATAACATCTTCTTTGTCTTCATGAAATGGCAACTCTTCACCACCTATCTCGAGAACTCTATCTTTGACATTCAATACAGCTCCAACTTTCCGTAGTAAATCCATCCCCAATATGAACTCGTCAGAGATCTCTGCAATTAATACTCGATGTGTCACTGTGGTCTGGCCAATGGATACTGACATATTAGCCTCGCCATATGTATTAATTATCTCACCAGTTGCTGTTCTAAGCTTTACTGTTGCAGGCGATAATTTAAGATGGTCTCGTACTACTTCTGGCCGTGCTATAGTTCTTGTTGCACCTGTATCTACCAAAAACGATATACATTTATTATTAATACGACCCTCGATGTACAAGCTATGAATTCCACCGGAGGACGTAATGTTCACAGTTACTATGGGGGCTGTGTTTCTCGAGGTCGGCAGTTGCCCCTTAGTGTCGACCCGTTCTAGTTTTCCGACTGTTGTATCATTTTCTTGCAATTACGGCGAATGTGACCTACGTCACCACAATTCCAACATCTGGGCTCGCGTCTCTTCGGCATCGTGTTATGAACTATTTTTCGTACCATTTCTTCTAGACGTTCATCGTTTAGTTCGTCGCCTTCTTCAATGGTTCTTACTCGATGGCTCCGTGAAGTTTGACTAGCTGTTTCATGTTCTAAGGCAATAGCGAGCGCTTCATCTAGAACTTTCGGTCTTGCTAGTCGTAAAGCTTTCTGTAATTCACTTTCTTTTAACCCATTGACGAAGGTATCTACGGCAATTTCATCCAAAATGTTGTCTGGTACCTCCGGATAAGCCAACCGCACTATACGAGCAACATCTGCTTCAAACTCTTGCAAATTCTCACTTGCTCGTTGAGTTCTACTTCTTAGTTGCGCCTTGTAGACTTGTTGTAGATGGGCATCTCCGTAACGTTTATCTAGTCGAGTGAACAAGGTCTGGTAACATTTTTCTTGACCCTTAGGAATTGATCTTAGGATATCTGCAGCATCACCTCGTAAAGCAGCAGTCAAGGAAACAGCTTTCTCTTGTTCTGTCCAATGATTGGCTGTCGCAATAGCTTCAAATTGTCTAAGGTATATAGACCAAGAGGACTTTCCATCAAATGGTGGCAATTTGAATCTCATATGATGTGTCGTTTCGTCTCTCGGTGATTCTTCTTTTACTACCGGATCTAAAGCTACCGTATTAATTGGTGGTAGCACTTTCGTGTTAGTTATCATGTTCTCTAATTGTTTGATCTTCTCTTCTACTTTATCGAATGTTTTAGAGACTTCTTCAAACTTCTCACTGTTCTGAATGCATACTTCGTCGAATCTTCTAGACATATTTTCGAATTTCTCGTCGTTTTGTCTAGCTGTTTCTTTAATAATTTGAGACGTTTCATTGAATCTTTCATCATTTTTTTTTGAAGATTCTTCAATCATTTGAGACGTTTCATCGAATCTTTTGGAAACAGTCTCGAATTTATCATCATTTTTTTTTGAAGATTCTTCAATCATTTGTGACACATTTTTTATTTTTGTTAAAACTGCTTCCTCTGCTGACTGGAACTGGAATATCTCTGGGTCGTCTCCATTCTTGTTCAGAACAGTCTTCAGTCGTTCTTGGAGTATCTTCTTGGACCCGCTGCAGTCTTCATCGCGTTCTTCTAGTTGCTCACGCAACTGTTTCACTGAAAGTTCTACTAGCAGCATCTTTGGTCTAGCACACACGTACTTTTTTTTAAATGTTCTTTCGTACAAAGATCACTACCGAAATACGCGGATGTTCCCGACGAACAATACTTTTCAAAAGTTCAAAAGTTCAAAAGTCTTTTTTTTTTTTAAATCACTGCTGCATTTATTTTCAAATCTCACACCGGACACCACTGCAGCGAGATTAAATAAAACGAGCGGTTCGAATTTATATAAATATATTTATTTATAACTTTACAGTTCGGTATTCTCTTATCAACTAAACTAACTCCTAAGATCGTTACATATATATACCAAAGTTACTATTTTCTAGAAAGTTCCCACCTCTAGGCGTATTCAATACTGATCATTCTCGAAATATCTAGTCGCTTTCGAGACGCCGCATGGAAGCATGAGGTGCTGTTTCGAGATACAACCGTAATACGTGCCTCGTTAAATGCACGTTCGTAACAATATATATGTTTTAGATCATTTTGGCAATACACCACAAGTATAAAAAAATTATACGAAATTATATAAAGCGTTTTGTGACGACTTTTTATTCCATAACAAAAAGTTCATTGTTTGCGGAATAATTAAATACAGCGAAACAATATAAATATTGATTTTTAGAGCCTTTCCCAGTAAAATGTGTACTTTAACTCATCTCTAAATGAGCTTATTCATCTCTTTTGTAAACGAGAATATTCCCAGTTAGGGCATTGTACCTCTATTAGTATTGTTATAATCTTCGCAGTATAAAATAGCTATATTTAGAAATTATACCCACACTGGCAAAAGAATAAGTTAGTATTTTGGCCTAAAAAGCGTTATTAATTACTTGTTTACTATTGATTTATTGATATTTTGGATTTAACTCTAAAATTACTCAAAATGTTTGTTGCGTAATGACTAAAAAGTTTTATATCAAATGCCGATATATAAATTTAGATATTTCTTACTTTATTTTTTTTAAGCCATACCTAATGATATCAAAACAACAAAAGGAAAGTTAGACTTTACAGTAGACTCCCTCTATAACGAGAACTGAACCAGCAGAGTAATTACCTTGCTTTAACTCGATCTCGTTATATCAGGTAACAATAATACTGTGTATACATATGAATATGTAGTGTTCTAAAACATTCACTTCCTATAGTGAAGCCATTCGGAGCAATATGAAGATGCTATAAATATTGTTTGAATGGCGTTTTTAAAAAAAGTTGTTTTTTCAAATAAACTCTATATTCTTTATTAAGTGTAATTTTTAAGGGTTTTTTTATTAAAATGTTGTAGCTAAATGTTTTAATTTATATTATTGGCGAAGTATCGCATTCGTATGACAGATCCTTCTGTCAAATTTGTATTCAAGAAAAATCACTTGTTGCATAAATTACTCATCTCATTATATTTGAGTATAGATGTTAAAATAATTTCAATTCTATTAAACGGAAACTATCATTATATCCAATATTATTTAATAAAATATGTTAACCTATAAAAATTTCAAAAATCATAACTACTTACCAACGTTGCCCTCAGAAAGAGATCCAGATATGTTAATAGAGAGGACAAAAATCAGCAACGCAATCTTCAGCAAGTTGCTGGGCCACAGCATGGCCTAAAACAAGTACATCAAATTCAGTGCAATATTAAAAACTTTCTAAAAAAATATATTTTTATACCTATTCTTATACCCTTCTGTTTAAGTAAAATACTACTGACATAACATCGTGTATGAGGTACATGTGATATATCCAGGAACAGGTTTATTTAGTAGAAATGTGGATGTAAGACAAATGCCAGACGAGTGCAGAAGTATATGGTTAAACACAGACAGGGCGGTTTGCGCCGCGTCTGCGCCTCGTCGGCTGCCGCGCGGCATAAAACACATAAGGCGGTTTAACAGCGGCAGTAGTTCTGCAATTCTAAACCGCTGCAAAACAGTCACATGTCTGTGTTGAAGCACGAGATATCTATTACTGATGTGCCGCCGGAAGTCATAAAACCGCCGACGGCGCATGATATTCACCATAGGCCGCACGGCGGCCGACGCGACGAGATGACGAACGACGGCTCGTCTGTGTTGCACAACATAAGTACCATAGACCAGAGACCGCTTTCAACGCCGCCGCGGCCGCCGACGCGGCGCACGCCACTCTGTCTGTGTTTAACCTATGAGTACCTATTTAGAGATATAAAGAAACACAAAACTCAACAAACTATAGTCCCATAAAACTGCTTGGTCACACCATGAAAATATGACAAAGATGTAATTGATAGATGGATACCTAAAGAAACAGAAATATCTGATAATCAGTTTGATAATAGTTTTAACAACGAATGCAATTTATATTATAAGGTAACTAATGGAAAAATACAAAAATAAAAAAAACAAACGCTCATATTATATTTATTAATCAAGAGAAAGCATATGATAGAGTTCCTCAAGAAATTTTTTGATGCGGGCTTAATAAGAAAGGAGAAAATATATGAATATTGTGGGAGACATGTATAGGGGAGTAATAAGGACAGGTGTGGACAGATAATAGTAAAACTACGGGATAATATTCCCTGATGCTTAATGTGTACTGATGATGTAGTTGGTGGTAGGAAATAAATCATCAAAAATTCTGAAAGTGATTCAGAGAATGAATTAGCTATGAACTAGCTAATTTAGAATATCCTTAAGAGACAGAATAAGAAACTACATAGACATGACATGACATATAATACAAGATAGATTGATCGTTGAAATTCCAGCCCGTTCTACCAGTGCGACAGAGAAAACTGACGCAAAACATCTCTTTCTAATGGGCCGGGTTTGTCGACAACGTGGTCTAAATGACCAATGAGAAAGTCGTGTTATCTATAAACCCGGTCCATTAGACAAAGATGCAGAGACTGCTTTACGTCAGTTTTTCTGTAGGACTGGGAAAACTGAACTGTATTGCAGAAGTCAGTCGTATCTTGTATTATATATCTATGAGAAACTTATGACAATAAAAACGAGGAAAGGCAATTGACTTCTAAAACGATTTTAAAGCAATACAAAATTGCTGTCTACTGAGAGATAAATAAAAAGAAAACGAAAAGGAAATAAGTAGTACTTAGTAAAAAATCAAAAATAATTAACAAAATGTACCTAGTTATTATCAAATTAAAGCAGCAAAATTGTCATTTTCAGTTTACCTATATTTAGACAATAATTTATCATTGATTTGATTGAACACATATCTCACCTTCTATTCCTTACATTGATAGTATAGGTAGACACACAGTTAAAAAGAAGGATATATAAAAACAGAACTTAGTTTTCAAATCTTCATGTTTTACTAAATGAAAAAGTATTGTTTTATTTTTGACAAATGTCACCCAAAAAAAAATAATAAATAAAAAGTTTAATAAGCATTTGACGTCATTTTTAAACCGTTACTATATTGTTTGTTGTAATGGTGGCATTTTTAACAACCTTAACTTGATTTTGCCCTTATGATCTGAGTTTCTTCGTTTTTATATTTAATGTCGTCTATTGCTTATATGACTGGAAAATTCTGTATCCATTTAGTATTGTAATTTTCTCTACGTTGTGCTTTGTAGTCTGTTCTTGAATGTATGTTTCACAAATCTTTTGTAGTTAATTAAATATTGAACTTCCTAGTTTCCTTTCTGGAAAAGCAACTAAGATATACCCAAAGCCAATAAAATAACCAACCTAATGTAGGTTGAGTTAATACCTACAAGAGAGTAGTAATAGAAGATCTAAGAAAGAGCTACGAACAAACCTAAAAGAAACAATGAGCACTCGTACGCCCAAATTACGAAATCCACACAAAACCTAGCAACAGATTCGACCACACTAATCTCAAAAGAACAATAAAAAGGACTAGCCACGATGCTAGAAGAGCTAGTCGTAAAAATGGTAAATAAAGCAAAAAATGTAAGAATAGCACTAAACTAAGGTACGAAGCTAGGGTATAACTAAAAATAGGATCGTGGAACTCAGGAGACATAAGAGTAAATGGAAACGCGCAGGACGAACTAGTAGACAGATATGAAATGGATGTCGTAGCATTACAAAAAACTAAATTAACTCATACCATCAACATCAAGTTTTCAGGATACGACATCTACAGAACTAATTCAGGCGGAACTGCTATCTTAGTTTAAAAAGGAATAAATCATACATTACAACAGACGTCAGCCCTATGCTATAAAACGCCAGACTCCAACACTATAAAAGCAAGAACAATACCAGTCCAGATGAGACAAGGTGATAACAGATCACCATCCATAATAATACTAGACCTAAACACCAGATCCCTAACTGAAACGATAGAGTTACAAACATAAACGGAAGAATATTAAATAATTATCTAGTGAGCAACGAAGAGACCTTGGAAATTGGGCCCATCGAACCAACCTAATTTCCAGGAAATGCTCTATCAACCCGTTAATATATAAAAGTGGCTAAAAACTTAGGACTATAAACAGACATATAAACCTTAAACAAAGAATCAGGAGACCACAACCATATACTCCTAGAAATAGGCACATGGGAAGAAGATAACAAAACAGGAAGGAAAAGAATGAAAACGAAAGTGGTCTATCTTCAAACGACTAGTGAGCATAAGAATTGGAAACGTTTCTACAATTGACAATCCACAAGAAATAGACGAAGAAGTCCTATAGCTAGAAATCATCATTAAAGAATCACTAAGAAATGGAACTACTAAAGAAGAATATTCGCATGAGAATATTTAGAGGCATTAATCAGGAAATAAAAGAAATTATAAATAAGAAAAAAGAGCAGAGCTAAAAAAAACAGACGAACAAGAAACCAGGAAGATCAAAATGGGGCAAATCCACTGAATCGACAAAAGGTACTAATATAACATAGAAGCCAAAAGTGGAATAATTGCGTAAAAGAAATGGAGGAAGGGGGCCTAAATATGCGAGAAATATGGACATTTCAAAAAACTTTAAGGAACAACAGAAAACTTATTCCCTCACTTAGATAAAATTAAATTATAAAAACAATTTTTTTAACAAGTAACAACAACAAAATTTGTAAGAAGTGGAAATCAAAAATCAAAATAGACTTAATTTAAAGTAAAAATGTGACTTATTTCCAGTAAAAATGGTAAATTGGATAAAGAACACATCATAACATTTATAAATATTGGAAGATTTCACTGGATAGGACATAGTTGAACGAATACAGGAGAACGAAACCAAAGAAAACTTGGGAAGCCGCCAGAAAGAAGAACGTCAAAAGGAAGATCCAAACTTAGATATACGTATAGTCCGTGCAAGCACTCTTGACCACGGCGCAGTAGACGAAATTTGGTTTAGTTTCCACTTCCATGGGAAACGCACTGTACTATGCAACGTGAAAATATCGACTTGAAAATTCTTAGTTGTGTTTCGGACTTTGAGGTGTTAACTTCAATAAGTTTGTCTGTTTTTTCCCTTTTACCTGTTGCGTATTCAAATTTATTAAAAGCAATCAAAAGGTAGGTACTTTCCCATAAATTAAAATACATAGGGGTGCATTAAGGAAATTTTAATAAATTTTTTTCATTTCTTTTTTGTTTTACTACTGGTGCAAAACAAAAATTACTTGCAGTCTGTTTCAATTAATCGGTTAATATTTGATATTGGAAAATCTTTTTTTTTTAAACTACTTCATATGTTACGATTTATGTTGATTTGAGTTTATATTTTTTTGAAATCTTTGGTTTTTTTTTAATATTTTCATTTTCTTCACAGTGCCATCACAATTATTAACAGCGTGTAATTCACAGTCAGGGCCGACATATTGTTTACAATGTGTATAGTTTTTAAAAAAGGAGCAAGAAAAAAACAACACAAAATCTTCGGTTTTAAATATGGTTGTGGAAGCCACTGAAATTTCTAAAAGTAGCGTCCAAAGAATCATTAAAAAAGGAGAGAGAGTTTTCGATTATTCATCTCATTTAGGCAGCTCGGGAAATTTCTTTAAATCTCCCAGAAAAAATATTAATCAGCCAAAACCAAAAACCAACGTCGATGGTTATGAGGGAGAAATTATAAGAAACACAATGCATACTTTTGCAATGATTCATGGCAGCAGGTCTACAATGTCAGCTGTTTACAACGCTGTTAAGAATAAGATTAATTTCCAAGGTAAACTATCGTCGTTCAGAAAAGTGTTGAAGAAATTAGGTTTTAAATGGCAAAAAACAAATGACAACCGAAAAATACTAATGAAAAAAAACGGATATTCGAGCCAAACGAACCGAATATCTAAAAAAATATATATAGAGCTGAGGGTTATGATGTTATCTACACTGATGAAACGTATCTCCACATCAGCAACCTTTTAGGGAATTCAGGTATATATAACTAAATCCAACTAATTACTAACAGGAAATCCACGTATAGGTAGGTAGAACCTAATTATTGTTCTATTGTTTCTAATTGTTCTTATCTAACCTCATTGCAATTTCTAGTAATCTCTGATTTCTGGTAGATATGACGTATGGAGAATTCCAAACAAATTATAAATCAATCATTAGCATTCAACAAATCAGTAAACAAATTATCACTAAATCAGATTATTCGCTGTACCCTTTTTTG